AAGGTTTCTTTATTACAAAATATTCCACTCTAAAAAATTACATACTCTGATTGTCTGTGATTAGGGTTAATCACAGATGAAACTAAGAAATCAGAGGGTTAAAATATGACGAGAAGGGACTGTAATAAAGTGTCAGCATGTGAGAAGTAGTTAGTTGAGGATGTGCAAAGGACTCTTGTCCTTTATCTTTCAGGCAATCTGCATTTCCATCTCTTCTGTTCTGTCTGCAGGGGTTTGCCTGACCAAACATGAGTCAAACTATAACACAAAGGCAACAAATCGTAACACTGATGGATCCACTGACTTCGGCATCTTTCAGATAAATAGCCGCTGGTGGTGCAATGACCGCCGCATTCACTCAGCAAATGGATGCAACATTGACTGCAACGGTCAGTGATGATCTGAGGTTAAGTCTTCAGCAGTAAATCATCTTCAGTGGCTTAATACATTTCTTGATTTATTCTAAAACTGATTTATTTACTTTCTTTTCTCAACCTGCAATATTGATTTTGTGTATGGATAAATGTTTTTGATAAAAAACACTTTCACTCACTTTTCCCAGATGTTGTCCTTATTATTCCAAAGCGTTAACTTTTTTCTTTCCCCCTTCGGCCACAGTGCTTTTGACAGATGATGTCACCTCTGCGATCAATTGTGCCAAACGTATCGTTAGGGAACAAGGCATCACAGCCTGGTAAGAACAGACCATTATGTGATTGGGATGCACTGATAGTTCTGTGTTCATTGGACTGACCTTTGAATCTGGTTTTAGGGTTGCCTGGCGCACTCGCTGTCAGGGCCAGGATCTCAGGCCCTATTTGTCCGGATGTCGTCTTTAATCAACACATAAACAGAAGGGTGTCATCGACATAGTAAATTGTCTCCATCCTCCTCTGTTTCTACTTTGAAAGGAAAACATATTGGGTGACCCAAATGATTAAAATCAGTTAAAATCTCTACTCTTTCAGTGTTTTTCATTCCTCATTTAAAAAATTAAGAAAATGTGGTCTCATGTGCTCTAAATAAATCAGTAAATATGGAATGCTTTGTGTCCTTGATTAGACCTTTTCTTAAGTAAAAACTGACAAGAAACTTTCCAGAACTCTGGAATCTATTTCAGCCCAAACAACGTGTTTTGTTTGTTCAGCTGTATTTTTTTTTTAAAACTCTAAATCCACCATTGCTTGTATTTCTAATCTTACCTAACCCTTCCCTTGTGCGTATTTGGGTCCTCTTATCTAGAACTTGTACAAACTTTGGGGATTTTTTTTTTGCTGGATCGATATGCTTTGTTTGTACAGCTCTATTTTTTTTTTTTTTTGCTTTTCCACTTTGATGCAAAAGCAAGCCTGGGCAGCCGCATCATTTTCAGCTGAGCATTTTTGCCAATAACAGGGGAAAGCAGCAGCAGCTGTAGACATATTTGGACAAACAAAAATACCATCATGAGGAGCCTGTTGGTTTTGCTCTTCCTGGCTGCGGCCAATGCCAAAATCTTCGAGCGCTGTGAATGGGCCTGCACGCTCAGGGCTAATGGGATAGATGGCTACTATGGAGTCAGCCTATGGGAGTCTAACTATAACACCATGGCCCAAAACACCAACAATGATGGATCAACTGACATTGGGATCTTTCAAATTAACAGCTTAATTCAATGAAACATAACATTTTCTGCTTGCCTAGAGTTAAAAGGTGCGGGTTTGCTTTTACCATTTAACGGTGAGGCAACTACATATTATTCACAAATCATCGAATGACTTTTAAAACATTATGTGCTACATTGGGAATAGAAATGTTTGTGTCAATATTCTATTGGCCCTTTAGTCTTAAAACCACTTCTGGTTTGTGCTCTTTTTTTTTTTTTTTTTTTTAATTTACAGCTTTGCCCAGATTACGTTTAATTGCAGTCACAAGAACAATAACAACAATTAAATTAAAATAAGAAGAATGTACTATTCAGAAAATCTTACATTCAAGCACGTTCGGCATTAGTGGTGAGTTGCAGATTCATTTACTGGTTAGCTGAAGAATATAAATAAAGCAATAAATGGACATTTATGAGTCTGGTTTTCATTCACTTTACTGTAAGAAAATGAATCTTGTCTTATTATGACCAGTGTTGGGACTAACGCGTTATTAAATAACGCGTTACAGTAACTACGTTATTATTGTGGTAACGAGCACGGTAACTAGTTATTATGCCAAAACCAGGAACGCGTTACTCGTTACTGGGATTTAGATAGG